GAAAACGAAAGACAGTTATTGATAACGATTAAAAAATTAAGCAAAAAACGATTGTTTAACGATCGTTTTCAAAGACGATTTACAACCCTAGACGTAGGGCGGTTAATACAACAGCCGCGTTTTCTATTCCAAGTGAGCTTTGTCTGTTGAAGGCAAATACAAGCCACGCAGAGATTCAAGCCTGAGCTGCATTTAGGTTAACGGGTTTTACTACAACGTGGAGATAGGAGAACTTGCTAGTTTGAGCTATGTATGCTTGCAGTATCGAAGAAGATGTTCATTAGTGAAGTCGAATGAAAAATACGTCCGCTATACGAGCCGGAGAGCTCTCCAGTATAGCTTGCCTTGAGAGCGGGGGAAGGCAGGCGGCCATGAGCCACCACTATTTCCCCTTCCGTGCTACATATTAGCTTTTTTCTCTTCCGGCAGCCATGAGCCACCACTATTTCCCCTTCCCTACAACCACATTTTACTCTTCCGGGCAAAACTACTTTTTTAAATTGTATATTTTGGGCCTTTAAAGTGTGATTTTAAAAAATCCAGCCGCGTCACGCAAAAAAGCACAACTCAAACCATTTTTTCAATTCTACTTAAGATTTATATTTCGTGTGTTGAATTCTTAAACTGTTTTACAATGAAATTTTTGACAAATTTGACTGAGTATTGCATCTTGAAATAGCGCAAAGTTGGTTAATGAGTGATTTTAAGATGGATTTAGTATAATGAGTCAGTAATTGAATAATCATTAGACTTGGTGATATTTCAAGATGCGCGGATGGTACGGAAGGGGAAATAGTATTGTCTCATGGCTGCCGGAAGAGAAAAAAGCTAATATGTGGCACGGAAGGGGAAATAGTGGTGGCTCATGGCCGCCTGCCTTCCTCCGCTCGTCTTGATTCTTACTTACAGTCATTTAAAGGTCTCACGCTCTCAGCAAAAATCGATGAGAATTTTTCAAAGCATAAGTTAGTTAGAGTAGTAAAATCAAAGCCCAAGGCGTTGTGACACTTCAAAGTCGACCCTGTCTTAAAAAAACAAGAGACTGTTCATAAGCAGACTGAATCTCTGTGTACTACTTTGATATTTAATAGTTTGTTTACCTTTTTTTATAAATACAATATTTGTGTACAAAGTTGCATATTTATTTATTACAGTTTAGGCCCCAAAGTTTGATCATTTTTATCTTTTAAAAAAGCTTTCTATACGTCATGAAAAATTCTCGAAAATTCTGCATTTTGCTTTTAAGTTGCTTTTAAGCAGTCCCATTATAATTGTGTACAAATAAATAGATTATTATATAAATATTAAAGAAATTCATTATTAGCCTTCAATCATTTTTAACTTATAAATTAAGTTTAGAGACGTAAATATTATTACTTCCCAATAGTGAATATAAAAGGGAAAAATAAAATTATTGAATATATTTAAATGTATTGTATACCAATCATAAAAAAGCATGAAATAATATTACAATAACACAGCATTTGTATATGTCCCACACGCACCTCTGCCGCTTTATTAAAAGTAAATTCAACCCAAGGAACTATATACAGGAACACCCAACTCAGATATACGCATATTGTGTACTGTACACTATGGGAGGAATGTAAAAAACCCAGTATCCCCATAGCAGTTGAAGGGAAAGGATTAAACCAAAGAGAATAGAATATATATTAGAGGGGAATTTACTAGAAAAAAGTGTAAAACGGCCATTTTGTTGTTCTGTTTCCATACTGCTGGTATACTTCACATATTTGTGCTATACAACCTTTTGGGCCCTGGAACATCATTCTGTAGAAAATCTAAAATTGATATTAAAAGAAAACCAAATTATGAAATAGGCTGGTTTCATAATTGACCAATGATCATTTCACATAGACTCTATGCCTTCCACTTTACAAACGATGATTTTCCGTTATAACTATAAATCAAATGATGTTTTTA